ACAGGTGCTGCAGAAAGATCAGCTGCTCTACTTTTGATCCTACCTGCTCCACTTCTAGACCTCGGCTAGTAAAACGGATTTCTACCTTCTCCACTTCTCGACCTCGGCTTGTAAACGGATTTCTACCTTCTCCACTCCTAGACCTCGGCTTGTAACTCTGAATTCTACCTTCTCCACTCCCAGACCTCGGCTTGTTAAAACGGACTTCCCCACTCTCCACTCCTAGTTCTCAGCTTGTTGAAACGGACTTCTAATTTCTCCTTCATTGGGTGAATTAACCCTTCCAGTGCCAGAACTGCCTTTAAGTTAAGTAATACTTTTACCAAACAAGCCAATTCCTATTATTTATGTTACACAGTATCTAAAACTCACTAAAGTGTCACTTTGTCTAATTATTCCTCTTATTCATAAGGGATTGCTACAAAGCCTAATTTTTCCTTCATGTGTATTTAAAGGTACAGTGACCATTGTTTCATATCAATATAAAAGGAGGTGAAACTTATTGTTGCTACAACCAGGAAATTCTGCAGTTGAGTTCCAATTAAAGAAGTATTACAAAATAAATATTACAATAATGGGCATATTTTCATAGACTACTATATATACTATTGGCTTCCTTTCACAATTCTAGGGTGTTATCAGATCATTACATAAATCCAAGCAAACTAAGTAATTAACTGCAGGGACAACTGCTGCTTATTTTACAATAGGTTATGGTATATGGCAGGAGTGTCTGTTGTATCTTACTCTATGAAGTCAATTCTCCGCTTGATCAAAAACTCTGATATGATATGATGGATGCTACTTGGCATACGCTGATGATGTGTTATTTTTCTTACAGATTCCCTTTTTTGATTCCCCCCTATGCAACTGCTAAATACATTTTCAAAGGTTTCAAGCTACAAGGTTAGCTTCCTTAAGGTGGAGGCTTTACCATCTTGTTAGCTTCTTTTTGAGGATAACTATGGCTAATGAATCCTAATGTCTCACTGGTAGGATGTTTGTATATCTGGATAAAGATAATTCTATATATCTGGATAAAGAGAATATCTGGATAAAGTGAATATCATGTTTCCCTTTTTATTCCTTTTTCATGCCGTGCAGACCCTTATTGTCTTTTAATATTTAAAGGTGTAATATACAGTTAGACAGTTTTATACAGGAATGTAAAAGGAGACAGGTCTCCATGCATATTTTTATAGACCAAAAGTACAGATAGAACCTGGACCTTCCATAGCTTTGTATTTATTACTGAACCATGCCACCCAAGTGATGTAAATCCAGGAGATACTGCTTGGTGGATTTCAAATAAAATGTTATTTTCACTGATTTAAACTATTTTTCTTTTTGGTTGCCAAACCCACAATGCTGAATTCTGTAAATATGCTTACCAGCCCCATTGAACCTATTCAGAAAACTTGAATCATATGATGTTCAAGTTTGGTCTTTCCTCCCGGGCATTACCTATGTTATTATTTTGTCTCCCTAATACATTCTAGGTTTAAATGTAAAAGTCCTAATTAGTAAATATCTCGACAAAAGTGTCAGAATATACATATCTTCACTGACACTCCAGAATATCGTATACCCAGTCTTCCACACTGCAAAAATAATTTCCTTTCATGTGTTTGCACTCTAACTATTAGCTCTAACCTACAGGACTTCTCAATAACTGCACCATTCACTTGGAATTCACTTCACTGTTCACTTTTGCTAGGCATATTCCCTAAACAGTTAACTTCTATGTTCACTAATCCCAGCTTCTCCTCCTCGACTCAAGCCATATGATGCTTATAAACTATACTATTAATGCTCCTAGCAATTGATCTTTGCCTTACTAGCATATATCTTATCATTAACTCATAAGTATTATTATCACATGTTCAATGTATTTATCTTCCTGTTCTGTGCATTGTACAGTACTTCACAATATGTTGAGGAGGAGAAGAAGAAGAAGAATGTGCCTGTGGTTTGTAACAGAAGACAATTATCTGTATGGTTTCTTAAAGGCTTTTTCTCTGTAAAGCAGTCTCAGTGTAGATCAAGAAAAACTCAAGGAAGACAACTTGAACTCTGTTGTATCAGTTTACATTAGTCAAATAAACTACTGAAAATCATTGAAATGATGTAAATACTGAACACACTTTATTTTGCATGAGCTAAACATTACCAAAGATCCATGTTTTAAAAGCAAGTTTTAATCATTGAACTGGACAGTATTTTGTTAAGTTTAATTTGGATTCCTCGGTTTGCAAAATTCACCCAATTCCAAAGAAGAGAAAACACCTACCAAACTAATAAATGATTATAAGACCAATGAAACCTTGTTGAATTTACATATGCATGCACTTGTACCTTGTCACATTTTCTTAACCTCTAAACCTCCAAACAACAGATAAATGAACTTGTCTCGAGTTGTGTTTTTTCTTTTTTTTTTTAAGGCTTTTTTTTTCTTTTCAAATTGCAGCGTATATTTCTTCAACCCTGATGCAATTATGCCACCTCAATTGCCTCTCAATGAAAAAAAAGCACAATGCTAGACTTGGATATCAAGAAAATAAAAGGCTGAAATTGCCTGAGAAACGCACCAACACAAAGACAGCTACGTTTCCGCAGAAAGTGGACAGAATAAAAGTCGACAGTTTCTATTAGCAATAACAAGACAAAATACAGAGGCCCTTTATCTCTTAAAATGTAAATTTATACAAGGATTCATGCTGCCTTGCTGTAAATATCAAATACCCCTTAAGACCATAGAACAAGAATGAATTGATTTTCCTCCTAGTCCCCGCCATCTGCAGATTCTCATAGCTTGGCATTATATCAGTGCTAAATTAAAAATCCTGCACTCTAAAACCATAAGGGAGATTTGTGAGGTTCAAGCTATTTATTCTTTAAATTATATGATTGATTTTCTATGTTCATATCTACTCTATCTGAATCATTTTTCAAGTTTATTCAATTGATTTCTTAGTGTTATGTGTTGCTCTCTCAATAACCTTTCTTTAGTGTATATCAGCCTTATATCTGTTCTCATTTACATTTATAAGCCTAAAGCAGCTGAAAGTATATTGATTTTCTTCAAGCACTTTGGTATACAATCCCTAGTTATTTGTGATGAATGCTCTTTCTCATTTATGGTATTAAACTCTCTGAGAGGAAACTTAATTCGATTTGCATTCATTTGGGTCATCTGCCCTTCAGAGATACATGATTGTATAGCCTGCTTCTGAAACTATTCATAATTTAGAGCAGTTCAAGTGAATGATAAAATGCATGTGAAAACTTTAGTCATCTAGCATGACATCCCTATCATGACTCAGTACCTAAATAGTTTATTTCATAATTTGGTTTCAGTTACTCCTGGCTAAAAATGTAACAGAGTGTTGAAAGACAGTCATTTACAATTCAGTGTCTTGTTACTGACAATGGCAATAGTGTGGTGACAAGTGGGTTCATGTGATGATAGTGAGTGGCTTTTTCAATAACAGTCTGGGAATGAAAGTCTTTGATGTCACCCAAAGCATTATTCTCGTTAAGAGATTGCATGTCAATGTAAGCCCATTAATTCAATTAATAAAAGCCGTCACCTAAATATATTGTTTTATGACAGGTTGGGGTAGATGATTGAGTGCTGGAAATGCAAAACAAGAAAAAAAACAACACTTCTTGTAGGAGATACACCAAAGAAACCTTTGATGTGGCTGTTTTAAAATAAATATTTTATTTATTTGTGCTCTCTAGCCTTGTGAACAAAAACGTGTCTTTCATATTATGCTAGTATGTTAGTCTAATATAAAAAGTTATCATTGCCTATAACTATAGTTTTATGTATATATATAAAGAGAGAGAGGGAGAAAGAGCGAGAGAGAGATCTTTGAAATTGCTTTTTAGTGAGTGTGCTGGCTCTTGTAGGGGATGGACCAAAATTCAGAGTAACATCTGAAAGGTAAATAACTTTTTTGTCAGTATTTTTTGCTGCAGGTACATATTATAACTGAGTCGTCAGTTCATCATGGGCAATTTTAAAAAGAAACAATGAGTAAAAATAGGGGAATCTTATTCTCAAAATGGCAGGTCGATTATTTAGATGCTAGGAGAAAATCATCCTGAAATGTGGCTTCAGGAGGATGGGGTTACTGCCCATACAGTCAGAGTCACAATGGACTTCCTGAGACAACTGCTTGTCGAGTGGATTATTTCAAAAACTTCCATATTATTAAGCTGCCATGTGCGCCTGGACTGCTGATAATTTCCTGTGAGGAAATCTGAAAGTCTGAAAGAGCAGGGGTACATGAAAAAACTGTGCACACTTGAGCAACTTATTCCAAATTCCATACAGGAATTTGAGCGCTAGAGCTCGATGTTATGAAATTGAAAGAGCCTGACTTACTTCATTATATGTAATATCATTGGAAATGGTTCATTAATAAAAAAAAGTTATTGACTCCTGAATTTTTTTCTCATCCTGTATATTGTGTGAATTGGCCCCAGCAGCACCAATATAATTTATGCATGTTTAGGTGAGTGCAGCCCTCTTGGTTTCATATATAAATATTTTTGGGAGTCCAGGCCAACTCCCCGGTTTGCCTTATTCCAAGGCCCTATTTAACCTTGCATTGCAGAGAGTCCCAGGAGGAAGGATTTCTGAAGTAAGTGTGTTAATCTCATAAATTAGTTTCGTGAATGAGTGAGTGTGCTCTGAAACTTGTATGTTACAGGTTAATGCAGACACAAGGTAACAAAGAAAGGGATTTGAAAAAAAAAAAAGTAAATGTGATAAGGAATGCAGAGAGGCAGGGAGGTCTTAAATATGAACATATCATTGTCTCCATAACAACCTTCAGTATTAAAATGCTGCATAATGTTACTTTTAGATAGTCACATTGAAGTGAACTCTAATCGGTCAGGATGGCACAGTTTATGAAAAGCAAGAGAAGTGTAAAAATTCACTTGAGAAAAGATACAGAAATAACAAAAAGTTAGCCCAGCAGAGAAAACATGGCAGTAGCCCCAAATAAGTATTTATGGGGAAGATGGGTATTGAAATAAATGTGTAAATACCCAGCTTCCCCATAAATACTTATTTGGGGCTACTGCACAGCGCTGACATTTATCTACTTTTGGACATTCTATTACATAGGTTTTCGGAATAACCTTTTATGTCTGGCACCTTCAAATTTTTACCTTTGACTTTTATTTGTAATATTTGGTGTCAAACAGACAATTATTTAATTTTATATTGCTCTTTTTTTTATTCTATTTTTTTAATGTAAAGAACAGGTAAGTTTAAATCCAAAGGAGATTCATATCTCACATAGTCAACCTTGCCATAAGCAAATAGCATGTAAAGCATGTCTATCTTTCAAAAGACCGCCTCGTACTCCATGTAAAATTCCCAGATATATTATATTTAAACTTCAAATTCTTAGAATACACTTACTGATTTTTTTTTTAACTACAGCATAGACATAGACAAAGACCAAGGGCTGGACCTGTTTCATTGAGCCATGTAAATTGGGCTGTAGTGCTGTAGTGCACCCTTGTGCTTCTCACTGCTGTGGCTTTGAGGGGATTTTATTCAGGCTAAACCATCCATTTTCTTAGAAAAAGTTGAAATGTGTACTGATCACTCTGTGACTCTCTATGGCTTAGAATAATGTGGTTATAGGGAATACATTTTCGCACTTAACAAACAAGTTTATGCATGCTTGCCTCACATATGAATTAGTCCAGCAATAGTCCAGTGCATACTGATCGTGATGTCTGTTGGATACAAAGGAAGCACTCATCATTGATCAATGGTCTGAGGAACCTGATTGTTGTAACAACCTGTCAAAACAAATGGGTACTTGCGTAGCTCCTGTATGGGCTTTGCTGGACAGTCTTATGCCTGAGGGGTATAGCAATAGCCTAGCCATGTCATCATTGTTGTTTGTGGATGCAAGGTAGTGCTACAGAAATTAGATATCTAGGGAGTGATACCTCATTTATAAATCATCCAGCAATAGCATATGTTCACACATTTAAGCAAAACCCCTGACTCAGGTAGAGTGTTGCTGGTTAATGTACAGGATGATTTTACAATGACTACTGAGTAGAGGGCACTTGTAGTAGGCATCACTGGTGCTTTACTTGGCTTTGTGCTTTATATACCATTGTTTCCTGTGAGCATAACCTTTCCTGGAATCTCTGCCACTTTATATATACTGTAGATATGAGGAGGTTAGGTCTCTCTGTTCCAACTTGTATGATGACGTAAGTTTACCATCTTGATTACATTAATATTTTCCCTATCACATGGAATGAGAAGTTGGAATAGAGCTTTTGATTTCCTCCTGTACAATAGGAGAGCTTGGGAGTTTCCAACTCACACAAGATATATATTAGATATGATGTATTAGTCTATTGTCCATTTAAACTATGTTTCAAACTTTCTATTAATAATCTCTCTCATTCTTCATCATTAAAGAGCATATAAATATACAATTATATAGGTAGACTCTCACTAACCTGAGTTGTGCATATCCTATGTGTAAGACATATTTATTGTAGCCTATGGGTGCTTCCTAGGCTACAATAAAGCACCATTTACTAATTATCACTGACCTGTGTGACTTGTTTTATCTTATTGTTGCAGGTCAGCTCAGAGAAGGGGCTGTCAACTGTAGGGTCAGACGTATGAAAAATAAGCTTGAGCATTTTAAGGTTTAGCATCCTACTTTCATAATTCTAGATATGCAAACAAATGTTATTAGTGATTCATTTGCATACAATTCATACCATATGCCCTAAGAGTCTTCTCGTTCAGAAAGAGACTGGATGCATTTACCTTGTTGCATCGCGACCTGTCTCCATCTTCTACTTTCCTTTACATCTCCATTCTGTACCACTCGTGCCCCTTCTCCTTCCCCACCCCATTCTTTTTATCTCTTCTTGTTACTATTATTACCAATAAAATAGCATCTAAAATTTACAGTAGGGATATACAACATTGAATAAATGTAGAACATATATTAAATACTGAGGGGAAAGAAGGCTTTGCTCATATAAGCTTACAATCTATGATCCATAATGGATTGCACTCACTGGCATCAATATGACATAGGCTGCTAAGTGACGCCCATCTTTCCAGCAGCAGTTTTGATGTAAGTTGACCAAAGTCATTCTGTGTGTCATTCCAATGTCAAAAACACAAATCCTGTTAAAAGGTTTAGTTGGGACCGGGGAAAAAAAGCTTAAGAAGGAATTTAAATGCGATTGGGAAGCCAGGAATATAAAGTATTTAGGGGTAAGATTATCCTTGGAGTATAGAGAAATTGGAGAACTTAACTATACAGAAATTGCTACCCAATTTAGGAGTACTCTTAAAAATTGGAGAGGGTTTGAACTGTCTTGGTTGGGAAGAATCGAAGCAGTAAACTCATATTTACTCCCTAAACTGACATTTTTATTTGGTAATCTCCCGTTGAGGGTGTCATCCCAGACGATACGCGGTCTTCAAAAACAAATATCACATTATATATGGCAAGATAGGAGACCTAGAGTGTCATTGGAAATATTACAGAGAGATTGGAAGGAGGGGGGGTTTCTTTTCCGGACGTACAAAAATTATATACGACTAATATGGTAGTACATTTAATTAAGTGCGATAATTTTACAAAAGCAAGACCTATTTGGTTAGATATTGAAAAATCGGACTTGGGTAATATCGAACCTCTATTTCTTTTGTGGTGCGATAGCGAATTTGTAAAAAATATAAAATCGAACAATCCGATGAATAATACAATGATCTATATAGCAAAATATTTAAAGAAAAAATATGGCACTAAGTATATATCAAGGATTGCCCCACTAACATGTTTAAAACTTTATATAAAAGACATAAATATACAAGAATGGGAAAAGTGCGGAATTGCAAAATTTGCGGAAATATTAGATGATAATAAAATATTGTCATTCCCAGAGTTACAGCTTAACTACAACCTTCCTTCCAAAGAAATATTTAATTATTTAAGAATAAAATCTTTTATCATAGGGAAAACTTTTTCGGAAATCTCTCAAATTGACCAGTTTATAGCATTCCATCACAGGAAAAAAATTGCCTCCAAGTTTAACCAATTTATAAGAAGCCAAAGGCAAATAGATAAAGTGTCAGCAATGAATAAATGGGAGCAAGAACTGCATTTTTCTTCTCTGGTTGAAGATTGGCTTTTGGGCTTGCAATTAGTAAAAAAACATATCCGTGGGGTAAATATACGGGAAGTGTACTTTAAACTTGTGTATCGATGGTATCTGGTGCCCACTCGCCTTCATAGATTTCAACCCACACTTCTACCAGATTGTTGGAGATGTGGTAGGGAACTAGGCTCATTCTCTCACATATGGTGGGACTGTGAAGAGTTGAAACCTATGAAAGCAACTTTATCGGATTTTGTAAATTTTGTGCTGAATGCACAAACTGTTATTATGGCTCAAACGTTCCTGTTTCACTTAAATATGCCAAGGGTCAATATAAAATTAATAATTCTTATGATCCATATTTTTATGGCAATTAAACTAGTTATAGCTAGAAACTGGAGAAATATGGGTCCGTTGGTTTGGCAAGATATTTGTGTACAAGTGGATTATCAATGTAGGATGGAAGCAGGTATAGCATTAAATAAAGTATCCAAGGAGAAACATGAGGAGATTTGGGCCCCTTGGAATAGATATCTTAGTCTTAAAATTAAAACCCCCCTCCCTCCAATGACAACCTAACCTCTCTTAGGAAATGTAACAGCTTTATGTGGAAGTGTAAGAAAGTGTTAATGTATGTAATCTATTGATTTGAAGTGTAAGAAAGTGTTAATGTATGTAATCTATAGATTTGACTGCAGTTAGTGCATAAAAGTATAAAATATGGTTTTATTAATTATGTGTATAATATTATGTGTATAATAATTGATTTTCTGTAATATCTTAAAACCTATTTTTCTACGAAAGTTTGTATACGGATGAAATTTTAAATTTGAAAAAAAATTTAAAAAAATGACACGGACCACAAAGTCAGTTTATAGCAAAAATTAAGCAAACATTGCATCATTCTAGCAGGGCCAGAATCAATCCTGTTTCCGAGTTGCATGACACGTTACTTGTCATGATCTCTAGGAGCCTGAAATTACATTGTGATTGCATTTACTTTCTTTGGAATTTTGACCTTTGCTCAGAAAATCTTTGCTTTTATGGGGAGATCTCTTATATGAGATTGCACTATATTAAAGAGAAGAAAACTGGTGTGGGGACAAAAGTTAGAAGAGAAAAAAATGATGATGATGACTAAAGTATCACAAAAATACTTATTTGTACAAAATAAATTAAGGGCTTTGTGAGATGGTTAGTAGGTGACTATAGATAGTTTCAAACATATACTGAAATAATTTACAAGTCAAAAGTCAAACAAGAGTGCAGAAAAGGACTGGAAGTCCATACTTCCCAACATTTCATATTGGACAAAGAGGGCCGCTCTCATTTTTGGGGTTTGGACAGGGGGCATTACTGTTCTGAGAAATTTTAGGTGACTTACTAACAACAATATGTGCAACTAGAATATAACTTAAAACAAGAACCATGTATCTTATTTACTCAGACTAATTTATAAGCACGTTTATTGTAGTTTAAAGACTCATTACTGCAAATATTATTGCTGTGAAGCTCTGTTATACAATCAGACATGCCAATATCATGGAGCTCCTAGAAAAGAGGGACATTCTGATAGAAAATAGGGAGAGAGTGATTTGATCCTAAAATAGGGACTGTCTTTCCTAAATAGGAAGGTATGGAATCTGATCGTGGCCTTGGCATAGGTGGATTTTGGATTGTTATTATGGGTGGATTTTAATATTATTCAATTAAAATCAAAACTTATAATGGTTGTTAATATACTAACCTCAGAACCTGATGTTCTAGGAGGGGTAAGCGAAATGGCAAATGATTTAGGTAACCTTGAAAAATGGTCAGAGCTGTGGCAACTGACATTTAATGTGAATGAGTGCAAGATAATACATCTTGGACATAGAAACCCAAGGGCAGAGTACAGAATATTTGATAGAGTCCTAACC